AATTTATGTATAAAAAATAGATTTTAATGTTTGATAGTAATTTAAATTGTTCAAAAAAAAATCCACGAAGAAATTAATTTGATGCTTGCTAACAATTTAAATATTTAACTCTTTTACAAATAACTTAGGGATTTAATGTAACTTAAATACTGTATTTATTAACACATTCAAGAATAAAAGAATTTTTAAAAATATAACAGTTTACTCATAGTAATCTTTTATTGTAAATTGACTGTTAAGGTAACATCTTTATCAGTTTGAATCTAATTTATGAATGTAATTTGTCATTATTATTTTTAGATGCGTAATCTTCCTTACTTAAAGTTTAGGTTTCAAATTAAGATGGAGTAATATTTGAAGGTAATATTAAAGATTTTGTTTTTTTTTCCTTATATATATCCCACATATACACTTATGTAAATTTTACATATACATACGTTCATTTACATGTTCAATTACACACAGAGGTATTATTATATATATATATATATATATATATATATATATATATATATATATATATATATATATATATATATATATATATATATATATATATATATATATATATATATATATTTAATGATTGTAATTCTAGTATATTTATTTAGAAAATAATGTATAGTCTAATCGTTATTAGAAGTAGAAATGTGCTTTAAATTTGTAGGAATAAATTTTTAAATATTAAAAATACGACTTACTCATATTCTGACGACTCCTTTAAGAAATCCCAAAATGCCAAAAACGTTTTTATCATTGAAAAACCTAGACGACGCGCGAAAAACGGATCTCATTGTTGACGAGCAGGCATTCCTACCCCACCTTAACTTAACCTGATTTTGAAAGCAACTTATATTCGTAACATAAGTTGTCTGTCTAGCGAAATTAACACCCAAACACCCCTTATCAAAATGACTGAATTTTTCCGTAAACTTAACAATTTAAAATATTAAGATTGTCCTTGCTTATAAGTGAAGTAAATTTCTTAATAGGTTATTCTAAATATCACTTGCGAGTGGAAGAGGAGCTATGGATTTTAAATCTCATTTTATAATTAAATTTAAAATTTTAGTTTCTGTTTTGAAACATGGTAATTCCTGTGTAGCGATGGGACCATATTTTTAAAATAGTAAATATAATTATATATATATATATATATATATATATATATATATATATATATATATATGAAATTAATCCCTCCTAAACTCTACCATGTCTCTTTAACTACTCCTTTTACCTTCTCTGTTAAATTACAAAACTTACACTACCCATCAATTTTAATTTCATTTTTCGTTTCATTTCATTTTTGGAAGTGCTGTCTGATGATCCGGCGTCCTTTAAAAAGGGCTCTGGTGAAATAAATTATTATAATGGTACCTAAAACTGGTCTGTTTTCTTTAATATATATATATATATATATATATATATATATATATATATATATATATATATAGAAAGGTTATATGATAGTTGTTCAAACGAGAGAAAATGTATATTTTAAAAAAGAGATAAACCGCAAACGTTTTTGGTTTTATGTGGATTTGTTTCAGTGTGTATATATTATAATTTATTCTTCATATTTCTGCTACACGAGTTTCCGGTATCGTGACCCTGTTCAAGCAAATAAAAGGAATACATTTTTAAAAGGAATAAATTTTCCTTCTATTATTTTAATGTGTCATTGTTCGTTTTCTGTATTTGTTAGTGAGCCTTGAACTCCATTCTGGAGTGTTGGCAAAAGTGAATTTCTGCCTAGTGCTAATAAAACCATTAGGTTTTGTATGAGAGTTGGTGATGATGGATGTGTTGATGAGAGATGTCACGAGATCGGAAACACGTGTAGCAGAAATATGAAGAATAAACTATAATATATATACTAAAACAAATCCACATTATAACCAAAAGCGTATGCAGTTTCTCTCTTTTCAATATATATATATATATATATATATATATATATATATATATATATATATATATATATATATATATATATTATTTTAGTATATTAAAACAAAAACATGTTAAAAATCGCTGCACAATTGCTATCGTGTTTCAACTCATATCAATGCGTCTCCTTAGGCGATTGTAAATTTAATTTCAAAAGCAAAATAACTCCTCTTTTTTCGAGAAAAAAGGCATGAGGTCTTTACCATGATCAACCAATCGAATATGACCTACGTTAAATTATATATATATATATATATATATATATATATATATATATATATATATATATGTGTGTGTGTGTGTGTAAATTTAGGTAGGATATTTTTATTCAGGCATGTTTGCTAACTAATTTAAACGTATTATGACTATTTTTTTTAGTTTAATCTTTTTCGTCCACGACTTAATTTCTTGATGGCTGTAGGAAATTGATCAAGAAAAATTCCAAAATTTTCTTTCAGATAATTTTTATTTTCCCAAGTACAGTGTAACCCGGATATAAGAGAGTTGTCGGGACCGGAGAAGAAGTCGCTTATATCCGGGTTTCTCTTATATCCGGGTTTGGTCTATTTTATATACATTAACACAGGCTCTAATTTGGGACCAGAGAAAATCTCTCTTATATCCGGGTCTCTTATATCCGGGTTACACTGTATTTTCGATCTCATCTGAAATGATCTTCAGGAGTTGCATATCTATGGATGTGTTATGCGTTAACATCGTAAATTCAAAATATTTTTTTACCACTATGCAAAGGAAGTAACTTATGTGAGTATTTAAAAATATTTTTTTAACTGTAGTATTTTAATTTAACATTTTTATATAACACTTTGATCGTTCAAGCGAAACGTAAGCCTTCCCCGTCATCGTCGTTGTAAAAATTATTTGAAAGAAAATTTTGTAATTTTTGTTAATCAATTTTCTATAGCCACCAAAAAATTCATTCGTGGACTTGAAAGGTTTTAAACTTTATGGAAGTTTTTGAACTTTTTCAAAGGATTTAAAATAAATAGACATAATACGTCTAAACTGTTATATATATATATATGCTTACGGAGGTGTGGAGGCCTCACACTTATACACTCACCCACACGAATATACACACTTACACACATCATACTCACTCACTCCCTAATGAGCCAAATGATAACACACACCCACAGCAATACACACGCTTACACATATCATACTCACTCCTCCCTAAGAACCAAATAACACACAGAAAACACTAAACAGAGACACATCCCCTCACCAGGTCCAATAAAACTGTCAAACTGACCAGAGAATTCAGAGCAGCATGTATCTATCAGCTCTTATCTCAAATAACAACAAAAGAGACTGTTTGACCAACACAAGGATTGTTAAAAGATTCATGTTAAAAAAATAAAAAACAAATGAAAACTACAGACAAAAGTTCATTTCTCCAGCAAAGATTCATTTCTGTAGTTTACTGCTACCAGCAAGCAAAAATATTTCTCCTCCCGATGATGGCCATGTTGGTCGAAACTAGTCGAGGAATCTAAATGAAATAATAATAAAAAAACGAAAGAATATTAATAAAGATTTTAATTTTTTAATATTTTTTATTGTTCAATATATATATATATATATATATATATATATATATATATATATATATATATATATGTGTGTGTGTGTGTGTGTGTGTCTGTGTGTGTGTGTGTGTGTGCGCTGTAGGAGTCAGCTTTTGGATCTAATAAATAACAGTTTTATATCTTCTTTATTTTAATTAGTGTAAGCCGGATATAAGAGATCCGGATATAAGAGAAACTCGGATATAAGAGAGATTATCTCTGGTTCCAAATTAGAGCCTGTGTCAATGTATATAAAATAGACCAAACCCGGATATAAGAGAAACCCGGATATAAGAGACTTATTCTCCGGTCCCGACAACTCTCTTATATCCGGGTTACACTGTATTTACGCTGAAACTATTTAATCAAGTAGTGTACGGCGTCCACTATTTTACAGAGGGGGTACTTAAAATTTCAAATCCTCCAGCTCTAAGATTATTAGCCAGTAAATTAGGTAAAAAACGTTAAAATTTATACAGTCATAGGTTAATTTCGTTATTATGATTATTATTATTAATATTAGTATTAGTAGTAATAGTAGTACAGTGTAACCCGGATATAAGAGAGTTGTCGGGACCGGAGAAGAAGTCTCTTATATCCGGGTTTCTCTTATATCCGGGTTTGGTCTATTTTATATACATTAACACAGGCTCTAATTTGGGACCAGAGAAAATCTCTCTTATATCCGGATTTCTCTTATATCCGGGTCTCTTATATCCGGGTTACACTGTAGTAGTAGTAAATATATGATTAAATCGGCCGGGAAGAGAAAGGTCCTCTGTCTCGAAGTGAGCTTGTAAATTAGTTTTGAAAAAGCCAATTTTAATCCATTCTTTGAAATCAAGAAGGTGATCCCCAAAATTTTGGCTTATAGTGTACAAGTGTCGGATGATTAGAAAAGGTAGTCAGGGTCTAGGAAGTGTTTAAACACAGAGACCCAAAAAATGGGTAAGCTAAAACTTCGACATACCGCTTTCCCATAATTCCCTCACACACACACACACACACACACACATGTGTTTTTGTGTGTGTATTTCATGTTTTAATGTGTCTTTTGCATATATTCATTATTAATACCCCCTGTCGTGGTTGACTATAGATGTAGCAGCTCTTTGCTGCTACTGCCTGGTCAGATAAATAAATTAATGGAATGTGCGTTTTCCATATTTTCATTCTTGTCTATGTTTGTGGCATAACATTGAAAAGACGTTCTGTCACTATAGGACAGTGTAATGTGCAAGGGGAAATGGATTCATGCCTTTTCCAATATCACTCGTGCGTAAAGAACATATGCATCCTCAGTCGAATTTTGACATCGGTTCACCGATTCCATTTTCCGTACTGGTAACTGCTGCACCACCCTGCACGTCTGTTTAAAAAAAAAAAAAAAGAAAGAAGAAGCACTCACACGCCTACAAAGGTATGTATCGATGTAAACACTTGAGATCTCGCTGTCTACGCGTTTGTATGTGCAGATATGCACATCTTAAAGCATTTAATCGCAAACAAACTGCGGGGTCCAGTTGGAAATATGAACACCAGAAGGCAGTCAGGTGTATTTATAGGCACGGCCCAGTGCCAATGCCATGCTAAAATATATCTGTGCATGCGAACGCACCGGAAGCCTGCCTCTTGTTCGCTTGGAAGGGCAAAAACTCTCATGGTGGGTAAGTAACAAGTGAGTAGACAATGTTTGGTCCAATGAACGAAGTGCAGGCATCCATGATCGACAAGAAAGAGAGAGAGAGAGTGGGCAGAGATAAAAAGAGAGAAAGAAAGAGAGAGAGAGCGGAGAGACAAAAGGAGAGAAAGAGAGAGAGAGGCAAAAGAAAGAAAGAAAGAAAGAAAGAAAGAAAGAAAGAAAGAAAGAAAGAAAGAAAGAAAGAAAGAAAGAAAGAAAGAGAATAGGGAGGGGAAGCAATAGCTGCAACTATCTAGTGCATATGGTGCCGGCCCTTCAAAAGACTGTGACAGGAGGTGCCAAAGGACAAAGAGAAAAGGAGGTACAAAGAAAGTGTAAAAGAAAGGCGAAGAAGAAGAAAAGAAAAAGAAACTAAACGAGTAAGTGGAAGATAAAAATAATAAAGAAGGAAAAATGCAATCGTTCTTTGGTATCCGCGGGGGATGAGCCTTAGGTCTTCCTCGTCTGCGGATTCCAAAATTCACGGATGCTAAATTGCCTTATATAAAAAAGGCGGAATAATTATATTTATAATACTTATATTAATACTTATATGTAATATATACTTATATATAATTCTTCCTTATATACTTATATATACACTTTATATACTTATATGTAATATATACGTATATATACTTATGTGTAATAATTAATTTAACCTACGCACATCCTCTTATAAACTTGAAGCCATATTTTCTTTTTCCTTTATATATCATGTGCCCCTCAATATGGTGTAATGGTTAGCAAGAGTATTTCGTTAGATCACTTACGTTTGAGTAGAGTGTTCGATTCTCGTTGAATGCCCCATACTTTTAGCCTTGTACTGCATCTAAGATACGAGTAATAAATCCTTATGTGCCACGTCCATTCAGGAAGTGGATGGTTATGGCTCTCTACAACTTCCTATCCTTGTAGCTCAAAGTCCCACTCTCTGTTCTCCCATTCATTTAGACAAGCTCGATAAATAACTTTTTCGCTTTTACCCTTTGAATTCAATATGTTCCGTTAGTGTCAAATTCTCCAATCATTTCTTCAGGATTTATCATAGAAAGATCAACTGCCTCTTTCCGATTCTTTCTTTAAGTAAATGAGTTTGTTTTTATTCCATTTTCCTTAAAACGTCCACGTTCTTCACAAAGTATTCTCATCATCTTTCTGTAGAACCACATCTCTATTGTATGCTTTTCATCAGCGAGAAAATTGTCCAGCATTCATTGCCATATAAGCGGATTTATATTACATAGCAATTCAGCACATAATATTTCAGTATTCGTTGTTTTTAACGAAACATTTCTATGTCTTAACACTTTGTTTCGCTTTTGAAAGATATCTTTCACCATTCCAAGGCAGCTTCTGATTTCGGTGTCATATTTTCCAGCCTCTGTTAAAATAGTTACATTTCTGTACTTGCTTGATTTTGTCGCACAAGAAATCTAAATGCTATAAAAATCGGTTTTAAATCCGAAAAGGGGGATTAAAATTTGTATAAAAATAAAGTTTATCGTTAAAATGCTTGTGCCATTAGCCAGAGTGAAAATTGAAGAAAATTATTTATGCATGTCCTAGAAGGCGAGAGAGATATACGTGAAATTTAATAATATGAAGTCTGAATAAATCGTAATAAGTTACATTAGAAATTATTTCAATCAAAATCGCTTCGATTGTAAGTGCAAAAAATCATGAAATTATTGGATTCAAAAAATCAGTGTTTATTTAATGAAGGACGCATTTTCTTTTTTTGTAAAAAAGTCCCCGGTTCTAAGATTGGAAAAAAAAAACTCGAAATGTTAGCACAACATAATTAATGAAAGATCAATACCAAAAAGAGTCTGAGGATCTTTACAAGGGCTCTATCACTTGATTAATATGAATTTAGCATTGTTTATTTTTATATTTTTTTTAATCCTATCACCCCAAGCAAAGCAGGAATGTTGCTAGCATGCAGGAGACGGGGGTACAGGGAGTGAACGTGCGAGAAAAGAATGAGTGTAGGGAGCATTTATTAAAATGCTTTTCTTTAGAATATGGATAAATACATCAGGCACAGTGTCACAAAATAAGAAAAAATAATTCAGTGGATTAAATAAGATATTAAAACTTGGGTGAGCTAAGTCACATGTCAAGATGTACCTTATATATATATATATATATATATATATATATATATATATATATTATATATATATATATTGGAATCATATTTTAAATAAATAATTATATTTATGCTCTACTTTTGTATCGAGTACTATTTTTTAAAAAATAACAAAATACTAAAGAACTTTGGATTATTTACCTAACGAGTTCTTTCCTATTTTCTATATATTTTCACACACACACACACACACACACACACACACATATATATATATATATATATATATATATATATATATATATATATATATATATATATATATATCTGATCCTCTTATAAAAGAAATTTTTTTAAATTTATTACCCTACTGTAAACAGTTTTTTTTAAAATTCTTTTTCATATTAAATAAATATATTTTTTTGCTGTTTGTTTGTACTTATTTTCAGGAGTGAGAACTATAGTTTTTTATACATATAGACACTCCTCGATTAATGCGCATTCTATTAATGCGTTTTCGATTAGTGCACTGAAATTTTTATATACCAAAATTCAATTAGTGCATACATAATACTCGATTAGTGCGGTAAAACCTTGATCAGTTTAACCATAATAATTGAAAATTCAATTTTTAATACTTACCGTGTACACATTAACCGTACTAATCGAGGGATTCCAGTATAAGACATTTGTAGAAATTTTTACTAGCTAATGTTTTAAAAAAGAAAAAAGAAAGTTTTATTAGGAAAATACAAAAGATGAATGGGATTCAAGAAGACAGAAAATGGCCATTGGCGTTTCATTTAAAATTTTGAAGATTTTAGTTATCAGGGAAGCAAGTAAACGGAAGGGAGTTCCACAGGCGAGAAATGCGAGAAAAAACTGTTGGCGTAGAAGTGGCGGTTGCAGTGCGCTATTTCAACAGAAAAAGGCTGGGACCCAGCTGCCAATCTAGTCGGGACACGAAGGAAAAAGATTTACATCAATAACGAACAGTGTCTGTTTACTTTTTGAAAAAGAAGTTTCGATTTTAAATTTCGGGGTAAAGGTAAAATAGATGCGTATAAATACATTAATTACTGAACAGGACGAGAATGCTGGAGAGTATCTGCGAATGTAGGAAATGGAAGAAGGTTACAGTAGGAGCCGTCGATATGCCATTTCATTCACGTGAATTCAGCCTTGTAATTATATCAATAAAGAACTTTTTTTTTCTTAAGAAGAATTATCTATTCAAATATCTTCCTGGGGATAAAGAAAAAAAATGAAATGTTTCTATTGAAACAGACATTGTTATTCAAGTGTAAAGGAAAATGAACAGAGAGAAAGAAATGATATAATCATATGCACCTTCACAGTTACGCTAAAAAATGAGCATACCATGATGTAAAAATGACTCAAAGTTAATAAAATTAAAGTTTTATCGTTAAATTCTTTATTGTTAAGAGGAAAGATAAAAGGATTTGTTGATTATTAAATTATATTTTTTATCCTTTTTAGAACCTTCGACATTTTGGTTAACCCCTTGTGTTTCTTGCGTTAGCGGTGCACCAAAGATTAGTATAGTAAATTTTAACGTCTTTTTTGACTAATTTGGAAATTCTTGCAAAAATCAAATAATTGTCTGATTTTAATGAAAATTTCAGGACTTATTCACAAATGAATTAATTTATTTTAGAAAGGTTTCTTTTTTTTTTAGAAAATCTTGGAAAAAAATTTTGTTCATCTATTATCCCCTACTTATTAAATTTCATGATACTTCAAGTAATTAATTTTTATATCGTTTAATGTTTATATTAATTATTCGCAGAAGTTCCTGGGGAATTTAAATTATTAATTTCTTTTGTAAAACAGGACCATCAATTACCGTAAACCTTCTCCGAATCGTAAAATAAAAAATGCATGAAAACTAAGACATTATTTAATTAGAAAAGTTTTTAATTGCTTTTATGAATAAGATATATTATGAATCCTATTGTCTTAAGAATGTTTTTTTTTTTTTGATAAATAATGAATTTTTACAAGAATTGTTTTCATTATTTTAAACTTTAATTAGAAACATTTTTAAAGTTTTAAATTTTTTAATTTTCTGTATTAATTTGTACCGTTTAGGTGATATTCTTATTAAGTAAAAATATGTTTACTAATCATAAACGAAAAAGCTTACTACAATTCAGCAATCCCTAATATTTTAAGAAGAATTTTTAATTTTTATGTGTGTATAAGCATTCCGAATGTTGTGTATACACGACATTATCTGAAAATAATAGCAATAACTATAGTAAATTTAAGGCCCTAAAATTCAGTAGAACATTAGATTAAGGAGAATATTTTCCTAAATTTTAAATATTAATGGGGAGTTAAAAATAATAATAATTTTTACAGATATGTACACCATAGAAAAAATAGATAAACATTTGTCAGTCAAGCCGTCAACATAAAATCGATGTTAAAAATGCATTTCTACGATATTTTAAACTAAAAATAATATTTGTCTCAAATCTGACTAATTAAACTTTAATGGTTTTATTTCTTCTCATTGAGGTCTACGTTACAATCTTTTTTGGTGTCTATTTATTTGTTTATTATCTTCTCTATTCGACTATATTGACAGTTCCTTAAAGGGGTATTTATATATGATTGGGTTATATTTTTAATTTTTAATTTTATAATTTTATACATGTCTAGCATTAATTTAATTTGCTAATAGCCTATATATGGTATTGTGAAATGTTTATATTTTAAGATTTAATTACTTTCTATAATGTTTTATGTAGGCATAGAGGACATGGGTGATCTAAAGTTCTACAAGTTCTTGTTTTGGAAATTAAAGTTTAGGACTTGAGTTTCGGTTTCGAAACATAGTAATTTCTGTGTCGCGATGGGGACATATTTTAAAGAAATAATTATAATCGATATATGTGAATATATATATTTAGGTTTATATATATATATGCGTGTGTGTGTCTGTCTAAATATATGTGTGTGTGTGTATATATATGTGTATATGTGTATGTCATGTATATATATATATATATATATATATATATATATATATATATATATATATTAAGGCATTAAAAACTAAAATGTTGTATTGCAGGCCATGATAAGTTTTAAAATAAAACACAGAGATTTGCAAACAAAGTTGTTTGCTGTTGCTGTTCTGCGCTTCTAGCAGCTTGGTTGGTATAATTTTATCTTTTCCTTCCTTCCTGTCCATTCATTCATGTCACCCATGACAGACTTTTTCTTTTTTTTTTCATAATCTAAATTC